GGAGGCGCGTCGTAAGAAGAGAGGAAACCCCATATCGGAAGAAGGTGATGCACGTGGCTGCGCATGGACGCACCAGGGTGGACATGGCAAGAATAGGTGGATGGAGAGGACTGAGTGGGGAAAATGCCAGAAGATGGAAAATATGACCGTGAAGAATGAAACTTAATTTTGGGAGGCCTACTCCTAGCAGCAGAAATAACATGACTTCTGGTGTTGGAATTTATATCTTTATAGATGGGAACCCGTTAGATGCGTAGTTGAGTTGCTGCAGTATATATCGTTGATGCCTTACTACTCTCAGAGCTGGGTTCCAGAAAATGTACTCTCAAAAAGCCCTTTCACCGTGGAATTGTGCGGCAAAGCCATCAGAAGCAAGCTGAAACAAAACTGCGAATATATTTTTTGTTAGGTCTGAGCGGGGCATCTCAGAGGCGGTCGCCCCAACACCCCCACGGCAGCTGCATGAACGCCCCCCCCCCCCCCCCCGAGCCAGCCGGAGTTGTTTTCATTGCGGTCGTTCTAAACGGAGCGATAATAAAAACAGCCGAGAGTGATCTTTGTCTCTCTCTTTGTGAGTCGTGCCATGTCTGTGCCACAGTCCCATCAACCACAGGTAGACTCGCGGCTTCGACACGCACCGCCGGCAGAAAGTGCTATCTTCACCTGGCCCGTTCTTCCATGTTTGCGCAGTAGTACCTAGCGGAGTGTGGTGAGTGTCAACGATGGGAAGGCAAAGGTGGGTCAGGCGTGTGTGGTCCTATCCCAGGGGTTACGGCGACGTGGCAGCTTCCTCCACCACAGAGGTGGGCTCAAAACAGCAGCCACCGCCGTCAGCCACTGAGAGAACTCAGCGGCCCGGGGTTATGTACACACACCGCGATGGCACAGGAGAGGCCACATGTGCTGGCAGTTGGACACAGGGGATTTATTTTGAGCCAGGGTTATTTGGTCTGTGGGTTATTTCGCCGTAGAGCGTTTCCATGAGGGGCGGCTGAAGGAGTGCTGCCGCTTCGGTTCGAGCGCCCCAAGGCTCATCGCTCGCTCACTCCACGGGCTTGCGCTCTCGTTGACTCGCTCGCTCGTTCACTCACCGACACAATCACTCACTCGGCCACTCGACCATTGCTACGCTACTCACTCTCTAACTTGCATGCTCAGTCGCGAACTCGTGCATTTACCTGCCGGGTCAATTATGTTTGCGCCAACTCGATTACGAACACACCCAGTCTCGTCCTTTGCTCACTAGCTCACACTGACCGACTCAGTCATTGACTCCCTCACTTGCTAACTAATCCACTCACCTACATACTCACTCATCTACTCAATTATTTGCTGGTATACTCACCTATGTATTAATGTACTCCCTTAATAAAGTGCTCACTCACCTACTAACTCGCACATGTTTGCACTTGCTTGCCCACTCGTTTACCTACTCACCTGTCCACGCACTCACCCACTCACTCAGCTACTTAATAAGGCACTAATCTACTAACTCACCAACTAGCAAGCTCACGGCAGTCATTCACTCTCATACTCACCAAGTAATTTCCCCACTCAATCTGTTGGCATCCTTTGTGTCTCTATCTCTCTTTGTCCCCACATCTGCCCCAGCTTCTCTAAATCTCAAATTGAATTTACCGAGGGCAGAATTACAGTACCCAGCACTCTGTTGTTATTCTTCGGAATCTTCCACTTCAACGGAAATGCCTCAGGCCCACAGAGCCAAACTAAGGCACTTTAACGAGATTTATGTTAAAGCACACATTGCAGTGAAACAGGACTCGCGCGTATGGTACGAAAGGCAACGCAGCTTTCCAGCAAAGGCTCCCAAGCAATAATTAACACCAGTGGGAGCGTTAAGTTACGTACACACTGACAGCTAAGAGTTCATGTAAACGTTCTCAAAATCCAGCCGTTGGCTCTTCCGCCCCCACCTTGCTTAAACGGAGCCACCTCTGTGCACTCTAAGACCGTAACAGTGCATCGTATTCATCAATAAACATCGACCCATTCGCTTACGGTAACGTGGGCAAAATCCACACGTGCCATGAACGATGTTTCTTTAAAATAATCTGAGTAACGTGGTGACCCTTGCAAGCCACGAGAGGGCGCGGCACTCACCGGGAATAAATGATCCTCAGTGTCATGGAGGATGAATGTCCGCGGATCCAATGATCCGCTCGGGTTACCCGTGATTTAACTCTTATCCGCGAGGGGTAGTCAGTAAAAGAGAAAAAGCAATCGCCCACAATGGGATGCATTTGCTAAGAATGTTTTATCCGAGAAGAAAAATAAAATATTCGTTGGTTAATACGAGTCTTTAATATTTAGCCGACGAATGCGCCATGCACGCAACACCCTGGCTGTATCGCTTCAATCTATACAGCAGCTACTGCCGCCTTGGAATGGTTGAAGGACCTTAACATTTAACTGGCATCTATACAAACTGTTGCTGACATTACCATATGAAAGAAAACGTATTTAAAGTAGTGCTGTGGGGGAGAGGGGGGGTTATAAATTCCATGGCCCAATCAGCAGCGCGCAAATCTCCAGCCACGCGGCGCTTTTGACCAAACCTCCAAACAAAGCTTGTGGGAATTATTGGCGCTGGTTCTGGCTGCCTCGCCCGTGTTGTGATTTCCTGGCGTCTCCATGCGGGGGGGCGGGGGGGAAACTGCGCACTATACAAATTCGACTGCACGTGTATAGATGCGATTTGCATGAATGACGCTTTTTTATATATATAAAAATCACATGTATTTAAATGAATCACATTGTCATTATTAATTATGTTCAAAACCCACCTGATATTTCCACAATTATTCGCTGCACGAATACACCAATCACTCATTTGCAACTCGCTATTGTTCCATCATTTATCTTCATTAAGTGTCTAAGGAGGTTTTGCATATTTTAATTGGCCATTTCAATTGGTCACGCTTAAGGACTGCTAGGAGACCAATTGATCGTGTTATTTATTATGTTTAAGCCTCGCCAGATTTCTTAATGGCTTGCAAATGAAGGAGCGCAGATGAATAAGACTTGGGTATTTTTTTCTCCCTTAAGTCATCTCCAGCGAATTTCCCAAAAGTATTTTAAAAAGCGTTTCAGGACGCAAACAGCCGAAGCATAACACTCATGAGCACTCCATAACAGCGCCGGTGTCTCTTATTTCAAAGGGATGATGGTTAAGTCATCATCTGCCCGGGGTGTAGCAGTGCGTAGTAGTGCTCAACTCAAAATCAGAACGTTGCAAGCTCGGCGTCTACTCAGGCCATCCTCGACCACCTGCGGTTGTTAAATTAAGTATCACTCTGTAGGAAGCAGAAGACCGAATCCTGCCATGCAAGTGTGGAATTTCCACTGCGGATACCAGGCCATGAATGTACTTGAGTGCCTGCTCAGGCTTCGTTGATCAGGTTCAAGATGAAGATGTCATCACGGACAAAGCTGTTGATGCCACCACACCTCGCCAACCCCTTCTGTTAGATCCTACAGCTACCATACAGCGGATACCTTAACTTCCAAGATCTGCCCGAACAGTGTCCCACCATCTGGTCTTGGGTCTTCATCTTGATCGCTGAATTGAAGGAGACCATTCAAATGCCTTTCTCGGAATCCGGACATCCTCCATTTTGTACACACGTCCTACCCAACGAAACCTTCTTTGGCTTTTCATAAAGCAGTACTGCTTTGAAATCGGGTCCATCTTTTTAAAACACCCTGTATTTACAATTCTTACCGGCCATGTTACAATATGGATTTTTGCCCTGCCTATCCTATCTTGTACACAAAACTCCTAGCATCCGTCTCAGACACCTGTGTTCAAGTGCCAAATCATTGCAACAGGGAGACACTTTGGGCTCAATTAATGTGCCAGCAAAGGCTCCTTTGTGTTCGAAATGTTCCAAAAAAGTGCTCGTGTCTCCATTGGCAACAATCTGCAGGCTCAGCAAGGCAATGATTTTTAGCCATTATTTTGCTCTGAATCAGAGCCCTTTGCGTTTTATTTTACTCTATTTACGCGAATTGTCTCTGCTGCGGCTAGTAAGGACTTTCAGAGGCCCTGCGAAGCAACTGAGGTTAAATAAAACAAGGGAGGAAAGTCCACGCATACTCATGTTTGTTACGTAATGTTTTCCAACACGTGTTATTCTTCGAGAAGCGTTTAATTAGCGGTACAAATACCAACTGATGCCTGTCAGGACCCCACCCATTCCCATATTTACAAACAGTTCTTTGAGCTATGCTTTGTTTCGAATTTTAGGGTAAATGCCTGATAGTAACGAAGTACTATTATACGATACAGTCCGAAGCATTTTGGATTATATTTAAGAGATAAATCGTTCTCCCTTCCCTCATTTCCCCCATTACATACGGACGGAGCTAATGCATACATGATTTTCAAACTTATTTGGAAATGGTGTTAAAAAAATCAAACGCACACATGCCTGAACGCAAGATCTCGATGTCATATGGCCCCCTTTATGTCAATCCACTACTGGATGAGTACCTCTCCATACCAGTACAGGTCGTGAAGGTTATTTGACCATACTTCACCACGCTAATCAGCGTGGCTTTGTGAAACTGAAAGGGAACGCACGTGTGGAAACGTATAAGTACGGTAAAACAAAGGATTTTGCTGCAGTGTCCTCTACAGGCCTTCACATAGCCGCCTTATGAAATCAGGTACAAAAAAACAACAAATGTAAATTGCTCTGCACCTCGCTTTGCCACCCTGCATGTATGTTGAACTTCTTTTGCACCGCATGTAGCCAACCGTGCTAATCAGAGGTGCGGGTAGGGGGAAGGACAACAAAGCAGCTCTGAAGAAATGAGTTTCCAATCTCAATTTAAAAGTGCACAGCTCCAGTGGTTTCATACTATCCGAAGGAAGAGAGCGTTCCAGACAGCCGCAAGAAGCATGTCTCAAAGCGCGCGATGTTCACCGGTGAGCCCACCGTTTAAAGATCTGGGCCTGTGATCACACCCACCCCCACCTGATGATGTCCTTGTGTCCGTTCTTGGCGGCCAGATGAAGGGGAGTCGTGCTGTTGGGCTCCGTGATGTCGGACGATTTCCCCTCCAGCAGGGCGCTGCACATGTTGCTGCTCAGCAGCAGCTGGGCCACCTTCACACGCAGGCACAGGGGGGGCGCACAGAGCAGAAAGGATGAGCAACCACGGTCACGATCACCCCCCCTCCCCCTTTTGTCCACTGGCGCGCGATGGTTTGCTCCACGGGAAAGCACTCAACGATGCACTTTCCCGAAGAAGCTTCCAGCATTGAGAGTGAAACGTTGGGCGTTGCGCCGAGCCGACACGCGGCACAACCCGAGACACACAACGGAGGAGAGCTGTTTGGACACTTTTATTCAACCTGCCGTGTTGTCCGTTTTATAGCCTTTCACATGTTTGACGCTTATTACCTTCGGTCTTACGAAGCCAAACGAGCTGAAGTTTTTGACACAGACTCGTCCTCGCGTGCAAATTCAAGATTTTATTAGAACGACCGGTCCAGATCCCGCCGATCATGTGCCTATTCGCGTTTTTCACTTAACTTTCATAATTATTAATACTCCTATATTTTACCCCCCACCTGTTTTTTTTGCAATCACGAATGGTCACGCCCATCCACGAGGGCAAACGTCTCATCCAATCAGAGCGGCTGTCGGGGAGCCTCTGACCAATGAGAGGCGCGCAAATTTCGCCACTCGTCATGCCGCCGGAGCGGCCACTGCTGTTTCGCTGTCCTCAGCGCGAGACCAACAATTGCCATAATAATTCCTTCTGTTTCGATTGTTAAAATAATGACATAGTTATAATCGTAATAGATTTAATCTTATCGTTCGCGTTGTCATGCCCGTACCGATCCGCTGAGCGCAACCTTGGTGACAACTGTGATCATGATTTAGAATTAAATGCCGTAATGTTATCCCTATTTTCATTGCCAAAATGACCATACTTCACCCCGTCAGTGCGGATTGGTAAAGGGGGGCAGCATAGACGTACAGTACAACTCGATATAAACAGAACGTCGCCCGGAAGCCCTATGACAACATGTGTGTGCATGGTGGACACCCATCCAGACACTGTCCATGCTCAGATCTGCTTGGCTTTCGAGGTCCAACCAGATCGAGTGCATTCCAAGCCCGGGTTATTTGGTCATTGGCGAAGAGGGTTATAGTGATGCTGTTCTTAACAGCTAACATTTCACGATGGCGAGATGTTAACTACCTCGCCTGGTATACAGGTCGTCGATTCGATGCTGACCCTTATGCCTGCATTTCTGGAGTTTGCATGTTCTCCCCGTGATCGTGTGGATTTTTGTCCAGTTTTTCCCTCCACGTTTATAAACGTGCTTCGAGTATTTGGCTGCTATCAATTTACACATGATTTGGTCACTTCATTGGGCTATCATTTGTGGCTAGGTCGCTTCTGAAAATGAGTTATATAGCTCCAGTGGGCTTTACCTGTTCAAATGAAATAGCAGTTATAATATTTTTAAGGTACAAACAAATTGCTTAAAAAACAAGTTTTTGAATGCAATAGAAAGTCAATTATTTTGACCCCAGAATTCAAGTGACCTGAGAGCCCCACGATGTATAAAGTGTGATTTCCATCTACAAGTCAGGCAATCTCTCTGCCCTCTCTCTGCCAAGGGGCATTGCTTACTGTGTAAACCTAAGGTATATTTTTTGTGGTACGAGGCAGTGTTAATAGCAAATGTGTCCATTAAGCCTGCCATGGGAATGTGGAATTTCTACCAATCGCTTAAGGTCGCCATCGAAGTAGAGTGCCACCCTTCGCTAATTTCAGAATCAGAATCTTTATTTAGACCGGAAGTAATCCGATGAAAACTATGAAGCTCTTTTGCACAGATGTCCAGTATGTGTAGGTCGACGGGCTATTTTATTTTAAGTAAATAAAACTCAGTTGTATATAGCGCCATTCACACAAGGCCTCGGCACTTTGCAACACAATCCCAGTAAAAACCCTTAACGTTCAAACCGAGAGGAAAACGAGCCCACACAGACAGATCCGCAGGAGAAAATAAACGCGTTTTCAGACGAGCCCTAAAAACCTCGACTGACGGAGCATTCCGAACGGGCCGGGACAAGGCGGTGTTTCCCCGTACACTAAATAAACTGCGAAGGAAAAAAAAAAAACATCTAAAATTGCATTAACAGTCTATGTCAAGGAATGCTTTGCATTCACACTGTTCACACTGCAATGCTGCATTATTCCATACTTGAATATGCATCGCGGCCAGAAAATACTGCTGTCGCGATGGCTTTCGCACACTTGTAAGCAGTTGCATGCTCACGGCGTTATTTTTTTTACGTCTTAAATAAGTCTCGGAATCCGAGGCGGATCTTTCACGCTGGCTCGAGTTACGATTGCGGTAGCATGAAAAAGAATCCATGAGTTAAAAAAAAAAAAAATTCTCCCGGGACGCTAAGGCACGTTCCTCTGCATCGCGCGTGTACGGTGCTCATGTCAATCCACTGCTGGATGAGAGCCTCCCCGCATCGCGAGTTTTGTGGTAGTGGTTTGACCGCACTTCACGCTTGTCAGTGCGGGCTGTTGGTGTAGGCGAGCAGCATAGACATGGGGAAATAGTATAGTACAATAACGGATTTTTGTTGCACCATCTCCCGCGTACACCATGGCCTCACAGCACCCTACAAAGCCTGTTTTATGGATGGTATCTACCTGTCCAGGCACTATACAGGCCCATACCGGCTTACTTTCCGAGATTTGACATGTTGAAGTGAATCAGATTTTGAATTTGAAATGGATCATGGGCAAAGGCTGCATATAAAAGTAGAGCATAGATCAAAAGACAAAGATCCTCAATTTACCTGTATAGAATGCCGGGGCAAGTGGTGTTAGTGAGCACCTACAAGGCCAGTATGGCAGACGAGAGGGTGGTGTGGATTGGGCAGGGGTCAGTAAACAAAATAAGGTTGTTTTTTTCGAATTCAGTAATAAAAACCTCTATTTCAAGAGCATATCAATACAACGCAATGTGAATACGAGACGGTGCTCCTTAATAAATAACGGCCACGAAGTAACTCTTAAAGAGCCCAACACGGCTTCGGAGCTGCAGGTTGCCGGCCCCTGGGATCAGACCAAACACGCCTGGCCACCTTTGTCTTCCCATGAGTGACACCGACCACACTGCACTCGGTTCTAATTTGTAACCTAAGTGGGCCTAGTGGAAGAACAGGCCAGGTTAAGATTTCAATGTCTGCCGGCGATATGTGTGTCAAAGCCAGGAATCTAACTGTGGTTGATGGGACTGTGGCACAGATTTGGCACGACTCGCAAAAAGAGACACAGATCCATCGTGTAGCCATTCCGACCGTAAGAGTGAGCGCTGTTTCATGAGCAATCATAACGGCCGGCGTGGGTCGTGACAAGGGCACAGACAGCAGTGACTTAGACAGCGGAATGCTATGCCTGGTCACCTTTGTCTCCCGCAGTGGTGATGCTTACACACCACACTTAAGGCTGACTCGACCTAGGGGTGGGAGGGGCAGACATCACGAGCTGCTAATGTTGTCCTTGGCCTGTGTCAAATAAATATTTGTACCCCCAGGGGGGACAATTTGTTTCCCCCACGAGTGAACAACCGTTCCAGTTTGGGTTTAGGGTTAATGTGACTTTGATCAGGAAAGATAGTCAAGAGGGGACTCGATATTCCCTGATATTTTAGAATTATTGGTTCCTAGGGGGAGCAAATAACCGGTGAGCTCAGGTCCTCGGGTTCAGAGCGTAGTGCGCAAACCACTGCACCGCCGCTCTTCTTGTGCTCGCGTGAAGACAAAGATGAAGATCCCCATATAACCCAGACAGGCTGTTGGGGGAAAGTGCTGATACCAAGCAGCTATGAAGGCCGGAATGGCGCATGAGGAGATGCTGTGACCAGGTACTCAGTTGAGGCCAAGTCGACCTTTGGGAGTCCAAGCACCGGTTCACATATTCATCACTGATGTTGGCCGTGAGCAGGCATCGGGACTCGGGTTGCCGGGTTTGTAGCACAACGCGATGAACACCAGACAACCGCTCCCTATACACGTGCACACACATGCCTCGACTTCTAAAAGAAACAATCTCATCAGCAGGCAAACACAGGGAGATTGTGAAAATAAACACAAAGCAATTCCCCGCAGGAATATAAAAATAAAAAGGCTGAAATCTTAATTCAGCAGTGCTATGCACAACCGGCCAGCCGTTTCACAGCTCCTCACAGGTACGTAATTTATGGATGCATGCGCGCAGTTATACTGGGGTATAAACACGCGCTGCGGAATGTTCCATTCCCACACGGGGGTGAAGAAGGATGTTCGCTCATCCTGCTGCTGACCTTGACGCGGCCGAATTCGCAGGCCATGTCGAGCGGGGTTTTGTTGGCGCTGTTGACGATGCACGCGTTGGACTGGTGCTGCAGCAGCATCTCTGACTGCAGAGACGACAGACGATAGGGGGGCACATGAGGCAGAGACACAAAGGGGAGGGAGGAACAGAGGGCAGGGGGCAGAGAGGGCAGAGACACAGAGGGCACGGTGCACAAGGCCATACAGAGTGCGGCATGAGTGCAAAGTACAAACTGTGTAGTCGGCACGTGCAGACGTGTCTATGTGTACGTTTAAATCTTTGTTTCATTTTATTATTACCTAGTTGAAAGCTATAACGGCCAAGGGAGGGAATGCGCCGAAGAGGGCGTCCACCGTGCAAATGGAGCATTCAATCAGCTCGTGGGCAGGTGCTGAATGAATTGTTGTATCATACGGACAGTGAGAGATGGCATTGGTTTGGGGGAGCCTTCATCCAGCAGTGGATTTATCAGGCTGACGATGATGATGAGAGACCATTTAAGCCAACATTTTTTTTTAAACGAATATTTCGGTTGTGAGAGAAATATAGAATACATATGGAAAAACAATCTAAAGTATACAAGGTCTACGTTTAGCTGCTAAGAAGGCAAACATTCTAGAAAATACCTAGTCATATTCAACGTTTTACATATTACGCAAAAATTTAATTGTCGATAAAAATGTGAATAACAACGTTGGATGGGGCATGGTTCAAAAGCGCTTGCTTTCAAATTGTCCATGCAATGAGCCCAATTGCCCATTCAACTCCGACTGCGAGGTAATGGTTTTTAAATGTAAAAGATGCAATACTGCTCAAAGTACGAGGAACATTGTGAAATAAGCAATGTTTCCAAACCTATTATTTACTAAACAGTCAAGCAGACGATGCCTCCTTCATATATATGTCTCCACACACATTGTTTTTTCTTTTTTTAAACAACACATCGACTTCACGACCTTCCGGGAGTGCACAAATTCAACGGCATTGATTCTGTCGAAACCGGTCCAGAGTATTGCTTCCATTGAATCAATGCCGCTGAAATTATGCACTCCCAGAAGGCCATGGGTTGTGTAAAGAATATGTATTTTTTTTTACGTGGAGAGACATTCTCTGCTGGGTAGTAGGGCCTTCTCGAGTGTGGTGCCTAAGATATTGTTCTCTCTTCCACATTTACTCCGAGCATCGAACATTTCAGGAAACTCAGCAAGATTCATTTTTTTCCTTTGAAATTTCCTTGAGTATGCGCCCTCATTTGGATATATTTTTTTTGTATATGTCTTGATTTTATATGTCGGACTACCTTCATTTAATTCATCCTGTAAAGTATTGCGATGCCCTCTTTAGTGGGGGCGAGTTTTTACTAAAAAAAAATATTTGAATGAATGAATGGAATTTTAATATAATCTGGTGATATATCATTATGATATAGTGTGTTGTTTATATTCCCCACAACGATGCTAATGATTTGACTTCAGTCTTATTCCCAAGTATGCTTTAGTCACTATGATACAAAAACAAATAAAAAAATAACCATAATGTAAGCTATCGGACTCCAATTTGCAGTTGTGTGGTGGTCATGGCGGTGGTAATTGAGGTGGTGGTGGCAATGGCGATCAGAGTAGGGGAATGACAGCTCCGTTGCTTATCGCTTGAGAGTGGTTGTTATGGCAGTGGAAGTGATGGTCAAGGTGATAATGGCTGTGGAGGTGGTGGTGGCATTGATGATAGCGATAATTGCGGTGCCTGTGGTGGCATTGATGATGGTGGTAGCGATGCCAGCAGTAGCAGAGGCCGTGGAGGGCGTTAAACAATGAGCAAACAAATAATTAATTCATTAATTGAATCGTGACCCCAAATCGTGACCTGAAATCGTGACAATTAATTGTCTCGTGGAGAAGGTGAATTGCTGCTTTCCTAGCGGCTGACGCAATACTGACAGTGGTAGTAGTGATGGCGATGATGGCAGAGGAGTTGATGGTTGAGGCAAGCAAAGTCACAGCTAAGGTGCAGCTCTTTCTTTCTCTCTCTCTCTCACCTCTGAATCGTGGTGGTGGCGGTGGTGTTTTTTTGCGGAGAAAGTGATTGCTGGTGGCATTACTGCGGTCCCTCTCCCTTTCTCTGATCACTTGGCCATGGTATATGTTGAGATGGTGGTAGGTAGTGGTGATTGTTGTGACAACAGCAGCAGTGGTGGTGGAGCCACCATTTTCTCTCACCACTTAGTGGTGGTGATGACGGTGTCGACAATGATAGTGATAAGCGTTTTGGTAGAGGTGGTGGTGGCAGTGGTTCGTGGTGGTGGTGGTAGCCGTAGTGATGGTAGTTTCGGCGAGAGCACCATCATCACCCTCACCACCTCGTGGTGAGGGTGATGATGGCGGTGTCGACAATGAGAGAGGGCTGAGCGACGTGCTTGGCGGCGGTGGCAGCGCGAGTAGTGGTGGCGGTGGTGGCAGCGGTGGCAACTGTCGCGGGCATCAGCGCCGCACGCTCACCACTTGGTGGTGGCCGTGCTGGGCTGACAGATGCAGGGGGATCTCCCCCTCCTCGGACTGGGCATTGACGGAGGCTCCGGCACGCAGCAGCAGCAGCGACGGCTCCGCCTTGCCCTGCCACGCCGCCAGGTGCAGCGCCCGCATTCCTGCGCACGCCCCCCCCCCCCATGCCCCCAGAGTTAGGCACGGCCATGTTCTATCCACTGCTGTCGACATCCTCTCACGCCCCTGCGACGCCAGGGTCCCATTCTGCTCCTGTACACGAGGTGAACTCATTGCTCCAAACGCGGTGGTGGTGGTGGTGGTGGTGGTCCTCTCAAACAAACCCGTGACTTGATGTGGCTTGCGAAGGCCTCTAACTAGCGGTGGTTTGAGAAAGGGCTCTAAATAATCGTGATCATTATGTGCTGCGTAACGAGGTAGAAACAGGGCCAGAGTTTATGTTATGATTGGGACAGAGATAAGATGAAGCTAGAGATGGGGTTCGGGACAGGCTTATTAGATTGGGGAAGTGTTAGGATTCGGGTAATGTTTGATGTTTGGATTAAGTGTTAGTTTTGGGTGTGTTGCGTTTGGTTATAGACGAGATTAAAGCTAGGGATAGGATTAGAGTTGTGATTATGTGTTAGGTTAGTGGAATATAATGGTTGGGCTAGAGTCATGGTTAGTGTTGGGACTGAAGCTAAAGAGTAGGTTGAATACTAGGGGTTATGGTTAGAATGAAGTGTTATGGATAAAGTTATGGTTATAATTGAGTGTTGGGTTAGTGGCACTTTTGGGTTTAAGTTAAAGTCACTGATGCTAATACCCGTGCTATGGTTAGGATTATAATTAACTGTTAAGGCTATAGTTCAGGGTAGGATTAGGAGTTAGATTTGTGGTAAAATTGAGCTTGGGTTGGAGTAATGGTTCAGGTTTGGGTAAAGATTTAGATTTTGGGGTAGTGCTTAGGTTGACGTTAGAGTTTGTGGTAGGAATCAAATTGGGATAAGAGTTTGGGTTCAGGTTCGAGTTAAATACAGGGTTATGGTTGGGTTGAGGCGAGAGTTACATATAGGGTTCAGGTTGGGTTCAGGCTAGAGTTACAGATAGGGTTCAGGTTGGGTTCAGGCTAGGGTTACAGATAGGGTTCAGGTTGGGTTGAGGCGAGAGTTACAGATAAGGTTCAGGTTGGGTTGAGGCGAGAGTTACAGATAGGGTTCAGGTTGGGTTGAGGCGAGAGTTACAGATAGGGTTCAGGTTGGGTTCAGGCTAGAGTTACAGATAGGGTTCAGGTTGGGTTGAGGCGAGAGTTACAGATAGGGTTCAGGTTGGGTTCAGGCTAGAGTTACAGATAGGGTTCAGGTTGGGTTGAGGCGAGAGTTACAGATAAGGTTCAGGTTGGGTTCAGGCTAGGGTTACAGATAGGGTTCAGGTTGGGTTCAGGCTAGAGTTACAGATAAGTTTCAGGTTGCGTTCAGGCTAGAGTTACAGATAGGGTTCAGGTTAGGTTCAGGCTAGAGTTACAGATAGGGTTCAGGTTGGGTTCAGGCGAGAGTTACAGATAGGGTTAAGGTTGGGGGTTAGATTTCCGGCTAGGGTTGTGACAATGTGTGGACATCAGTGCTCCTATACCAAGACCACCGCCATTCTCCACTAAGTGACGGTGACTTCACCACGGCGCCTGTGCCAGGCTAGGTGCACTTTGAGGCCACGTCAAGCGTCCAAGGCCCACTGACAGGAGGCCACTGGCCAGACCCGGGTGCCGTGTGTTGACTGACTGAGATGACCGCCAGCCAGATGCACCAGCTGTAACCCCCGACTGTGACTCGGGCGCCTTTCCCGATGGAGTTGCTCCGTACCTTTGTTGTCACGCAGGTCCACAGCTGCCTGGGCATCGAGCAGCAGGGAGATGAGCTCCGAGTTTCCCATGAGAGCCGCATGGTGGAGCGCGGAGAACCTAGACAAAGATCACCCACATAGCCTTAACAAACTGTCGGGGCAAGTGCTGTTAGTGGGCACACACGCACGCACGCACACACACACACACATGCACGGCCCCCAATCAGCATGACAGACCACAGGGGAGAACGCTGCTAACGAGCACCTATTAGGGTCAGGATGACACAAGACGGTGTCATGAGGCCGGCATCCATGCCTGGCTGCCCTTGTCTCCACATTCCCGATGTTCACACATCAGGAATGATTTGTACAGATTCTATTTTCTTCCCGCGTTGTGCATGGCTGGGAGTTGAATGCGGGTATCTGGAGGTCATACCGCAGTGTGCGAACGTATGCAGCTTTGCTCCATACACACATGCACGCAGAGACACACACGTCAAAAAAACAGGTACACACACAAACATAGACAAAGATCCCCTGTATAGCCTTAACAGACTGTTCGGGCAAGTGCTGTTCGTGAGCACCTATGGAAGCCGGCACGGCACAGGAGGAGGTGGGTGGACAGCACCACGCCCGTCCGCCTTCGTCTCCCCAGTGGCAATGTTTACACACAGCACCAGGTACTCAATTTGAGGCTGAGTCGTCCTAGCGGAGACCCATGACCGGTTCAGGTAATCGTCACTGGTGTTGGCCGTGAGCGGGACTCGAACTCGGGTCTCCGGGTTCGTAGTGCAGCGTGCTGGCCGCTGCGCTACCGCTCTCCACCTACACATGCAACAAAGACAAAGATCCCCCATATAGCCTTAACAGTGCTGTTAGCGAGCACCTATGAAGGCCGCTGCAACTCACACGAAGAGATTCTCACACGCAGGCGCACAACCTCCTTCAGTGGCGTTTCTGTCTTTGCGTACAGTGCTTTTGCTCGGCCGGGTCTCCCTTCTAAAAAGAGACGATTCGGTCTCGGTGGGCTCTCAGCCGCTCATAAATAAGCAATTTGACTGATTGATTGATAGCGCGAGCGCTGTCACAACGGTTTACAGCGGGTAATGACGAGCGCCGCGCCTCTTGTTTGGCGGTGAGAGAAGCCCGGCCCGCGAGGTGCCTCCAAGCGCCCCGGGCGGCTCTGCTCCGTCACCTTCCAGGGTCGCGGCAGGGCGGCAGAGCAGCGGCACATCGCCCGTGCCACGCGGGTTGAGGAGGCTGCTCGGGGTTCGACTCCTGACTCGGGCGTTCTCCCAGCCGCTTGCGCCAGGGAGCAGAGCTCGCCACGGCTATCCCAAAAGAGCGGCTTTTAAGGGAATATCCCATTCATCGAGCCGTGAAAAACCTACATCAATAAATATATTTTTAAACGGTCTCATTGATTTTGTCCAAACTTCCCAAATGCAGGACACTCTTGAGAGAGTGTTCAAACTCAGTGTGGCTACCCTTGTCGATAAGCAATTGTTGTTATTATTACTACCTGTAGGGAGTTCAAAAAAAATATTGATAAGGCTTCTCCTGGTGAGCACACAATTGCACGTGTCCGGCAGAGTGGCGTATTTTGCCTTTAACATATGTAATTATAAATAGCACAATACTTTTGTGTAATGTTTTACTGTTTTATGTGCCCAATTGCTGTGGTTAGCGTCGTGTTATTTGATGTTTCCGCTGTATTATCTATTATCTATCTATATAAAAGTAAAAAATTGTCTGTGGGTTTGTGTGTGGCTTTGTGAGTCTGAGCCATTCCCTGTACACCTTGGGGTGCGACAGGGATGTCCTCTGGCTCCAACATTATTTAACATCTATTTCGACCACGTAGTTCGTGAAGCCTTCAGTAGCTGTACAGGAGGAATTTCCATCTGGTACAGATACAATGGGAGGCTGATCGATGCCTGGGTGTGGTCAAGGGATGGATCTCTATTGGTCAACCACGTTATGTATGCCGACGACCTGGTAATTGCAGCTCACTCAGAGGAGGAGTTGGAGGCGCTGCTGCTGAAACTGGAGTGTGCCACTAAGAGGTGGGGCCTCACTATCAGCCCCACCAAAACGAAGCACCTGCCTGGGTATTTTGTACCATAGGGCACTCCACCCCCACAACTCCCAATCGGTGATGGGGCAGTTGTGGAGAGAGTGAAGAGTTTCCCATACCTGGGCAGTGTGCTCATGACCGGCCCTGGTTTAACAGCAGAGGTCTCACTCCAAATCAGTCGAGCGGCATTATCTTTTCATCAGTTGCGTAACACTGTGTGGAAGCTACCTGGTCTGTCGCTCCGCACAAAACTTTGGGTCTTCTCGGCCACAATCATTCCCTCCCCTCTCTACGCTTGCGAAACGTGGACCCCCCCTAATGGAACATCTTCACCGGTTAGAAACATTTAGGCTGGTCTGCCTACGATCCATCCTGGGTTTAACCAGGCTGGATTGTGTGAGGAGCTCACAAATCCTCGAAAGATCTGGACAAAGTCCCATCGGTGAGCACCTACAGCAGGCAAGGCTGCGTTGGCTGGGCCATATAGCCCGCATGCCCAGCCACCGCATGCCCAAACAGCTTTTGTTCGGCCGGATCAAGGGGGCTAAACGGGTGCGGCACGGGCTAGAGAAGAGATGGAGTGACGTGGTACAGGAGGATGTGGAGCTGAGTGGACTTACCGATGACTGGTACCAGCGGTGTCAAGATCGGCCTATGTGGAGGAGGCTCGTGAAGGACGCTACTGGGCAGTTGGAGGCAGTCGCCCTCCAACAACAAAGGGCGGAGGAACGATGCTCACAACAACGAGCGGAGCGCCGGGTAGCTAAAGCACAGCAAGTTGGCACAGTAGAGGGCACAGGTGGTGCATCAGCCAATCATCTCAGTCAGTCGACCCGTGGCACCTGGGTCTACCCTGTAACCTCCTGCCGGCGGGCGTTCGACACTTCATGTGGCCTCAAGGTGCACATGGCCTGGCACAAGCGTCGTGGTGACGTCACCGCCACTTAGTGGCGAATGGCGATTGTTGTTCACGTGCTTGCAAACGATTTCGCTCTCCAACGGTGGGGTTTACGTAAAATAAAAATCGCCAGGTTCCACGCCGTAAGCCCCCGACGTGAGCAAGCGCTATTCCTTTTTCACAACTGTAAACTTTAAATTAGTTTAATTAGCGATTTATTGCAGTTTTTGTGTGCTTTCCTTTTATGTATTTATTTATGACGCATGCACGACCATACCAACTCACGTGCCTTTGGTGGGGGGGAATGGCCCATGCCAAGTCGCACGCCTTCAGTGGGAGTGAGGGGGACATTCCACTCCAGCGCTAATTCCTTTGTCAAGGGGTACCTCTGCGGATGTGTATACTTTAACTTAGCTATTTCAATGAGCCATTTCAATGCTAAATTATATGCTAATTCCTTTGTCAAGTCGCTTGGTCTTTTTCTTCTCACACAGCTTAAAGGTCGTGATCTAAGCGTGGCTTCTTCCACTCCAGCGCTGTCCTCCAGACAGTCTCGTCCCTTCACCTGATGAAGGCCGCTTGTGTTGTGGCCGAAACGTCGTGATTTTTTGTTATTTTATTTTCACCTACGTGACTTTACCCAATAGAACCAAAGAGTAGGGACATTTTCTTTTTCGTTAAAAATGCTATAACATACACTACACGCTGGCGTTAATTCTTCACCTTGTGATGTCCCCCCCACCCCCATGCGTGCTGTTATTACTACGACAAGGTCCATGAGGCGAGCGAGGAAGATTATGGCCGATTTTTCCCACCCTGGACACTCTCTGTTTCAGCTACTCCCCTCCGGCAGAAGGCTTCGGTCCATCAGGACCAAAACCTCACGCCATAAAAACAGTTTCTTCCCATCTGCTGCTGGCCTGTTAAACAAGGCCAAGGGCTAACACTGTTTTTAACATTTGATCTACATAATGACACCTTGCCGATATTAACTATGTTACCCTATTTGTATTTTTTATTTTTAAATTATATCTTAAAGCTATTTTATATTCGATATTTATTTAATTTTATATACTTCAGCCCCTTGGTGTTAGACTTTTAACCTTTATTATAGTAAGACTTGTTTAAAACTTATTTAAGATTTTAGATTCCTATATGTTGAATGTATGCACCATCCTGCCAAAGTAAATTCCGTGTCGGTGTGAACTTACATGGCGAATAAAACCCTTTCTGATTCTGATTCTGATACAGTCGGTAGATGCTAGCACTATAGGCCATAGATATTACTGCAGAGCAGCCGGGGAGATCGTGGCTGGGGGGTGGATTGCAGCCCAGCCCCAGCCTGCCAAGGTGCCACCTCGGCCGGCTAGACAATCTAGGCAAGGCCGGAGGCTCTGCACGGTACTAGGCCTCACCACGCCACTCTGTCAGGTGAGTACTTTGTGCTATAGAGTCGATAAATACTGCTATAGAGTCAGCATGTACTACTGAAGTGATAGCAGGTACCACCACAGTCGGTATGCACTGCTGTAATCATAGCAGGCACCACCACAGTCAGTATGCACTGCTGTTAGATATAAAAAGTTGTTCCTGTACTCCTCACATTAAGTTGCTACATGAAGATAAATATTTATTTTCACGGCACTCTTTCGATGAAAACCCTTTTCCCCCTTTACTTTAAGGCAAACGTGCGACATATAATCCAGTAGATGTGTGTGTGACCAGATGTGTATACTGGTACAGATTGTGAGCTGCAGTGTAGTGGCTGGCGCACTGCACCACTGACCCGGCCACGTGAGTTCAATTCCCACTCGCGGCTAAGACCGGGTGTGCCTCCTTAGGTCCACTCAGCCTCATTTAAGTGTCTGGTGCGCAATGTGTAAACATCAGTGCTGGGGACACAAAGGCGGCCGTGCATGGAGCTGGCCACCCACCCCCTCTTGTGCCGTTTCAGACTTAATAAGTGCTCGTTAACAGTACTTTCACCAGCAGTCTGTTAAGGGTAATTATGGGGGATCTTTGCCGAACTGCATGAACACACAGCACAAGTTTGGGTGGGTTAGGGTTCAGAATACGATGTTGCAACTGATCACACGACCTAATACACGCGCAGTGCACTTAATCTAATTAAACATCACAATAC